AGAGAGAGAGAGAGAGAGAGAGAGAGAGGAGAGAGAGAGAGAGAGAGAGGGAGAGAGAGAGAGAAGTCTACTAATTGGTAAACACTTGCTTTAAAATGCGAAATTTCTATGATAATCTTACATATAAAGGAAAATGTTTCATTGAGCAATTCTAGAGAGAAAAATGAGATGATTGTATACTGATTAAATAATGGTACGACATATGCACCACTTGCTTCCACCATATTTCACCTTTGTAGGGGTAATTTGATCAGTCCATTGTGCCTTCTCATGGGTCAAAAACTTTCTCACATACCTCCATTACGTGTGAAGCTCATCCTACTTCTAACATCAGCTCAGGCATTTGGTATAGAAGCTTACAATTCTTTAGGCATTGTTTGGTCTTTGACATTTAATTGATTCCTTTCTGTTTCTTTGTTGATAGATGAGCTCATGGTACCTATTGTTCCACTCCAAATGGTAAACTCATTCAACTTTGCTTCTTTTTTCGGCTCATTCAATCTATCCTCTTTGTTTGCTTCCATTGTTCCCTTGGTTCTTACAGCCACTGTTAACTTCTTTACATTTCAAGGCCAACTTTCTTCGCTATCACAAAACAAGAAATTTGATAGTTGTCAGTTTCTAGTTGGATGGTTGTTGTCAACTTGTTTCTGAATGTTTGGTTTGGTACAATTTGGAAGGAACTCTTTCATGTACTTATGAAAAGTTTGTGCTTATTATGATTGTCTGATTTTATATTGAATCTAGAAATCTAGAGAGATACGAATTATTCACCTTATTGGTTAGTTGAAGAGATATATTGATATTACTTACCAGATTTTATATTCCTGGGGAATATAATGCCCCTTTACTCCTGGGTAAAACCCAATCTAGTAGTAATTTTCGGACCCCAAATTTTGGCGATGTAACTTTATCAACTCGTAGATTAATCTCAATAAAAGTTTTTCCTAATTGCACTCTCTAGGCACTTGAAAAAATGATTTTTCAAGATTGAACATAGAGTACATTTTTTGGAGGGTGAGATCCAAGCAGTAGAAATATCAAAATTCAAAATTTTTTCTTTTGAAAATAATCTAGTGGTTCTTAGGTGGTTCCCAAAATGTGAGATGAAAAACTCTTCATAAGTAGGTATTCTGACTGAGGGAGGTGTACAATATGCTCTAACGGGAGTTATATTACATGCGCTCATAGTATATTGTAGAGAGATAGATAAATGGTAATTAGCCTGATTTTATGGTTTTAGCATATCATTTTTTTGGTTTCTGAATGCAAAATGGTATGCAGATATCTCAAAAAATGGCCACTCTACGTGCGCACAAACGCCGAGGTGTTGGAAGTCTTCCAACTTACATCTTCAACGTCACATAATGTAAGTATATATTTCATAATTATTTGTATTAAATATTTCTCATTGGAACCTAAAAATATTAGTACTTGGTTAATGTCCTGGGCAAATTTTTTTGTTATTATTGGTTTTTTTTTTTTCTTTTTTTTTTTTAAAACTTGATTTTTGTATGGTGTCCCTGTGATTTGAAATTCTTTTCATCCTATCATAGGTGTAATCGTTGGCCCTCTTTAGCATGACATGCTTTTCTTCTTCTATGTAAATTTTCTATCCAGGCATTCCTTTTAGCTGTTTGTTCTTTCCATTTGATAACTTTTTCCACCAATGAAATTTTAATGTACTAAAGAAAGTGCATAGGCTTGTTAGGCATGATTCTATATTCCTAAATGAAGCTAGGTATCAGAGGTCAACTAGTTTCCTTTGTCTCTTTGCATACTTCTTGAATTTTTATTCATGAATGTGTTGGTCTTTTTATTTATTGTCCTATCAATCATCTTAGAAGCAGAAAAACAAGCCATTGAAGACTCAGAAAATTCAGAAGTGATTGGAATATTGATGATATGCTGTGTACTGCTTGATACTACCAAATTGCGCTATGAATTTTGGAAAAAAAGTTGTAGCCCATAAAGGCATATCTTTTGATCTATGTACTCACTTTGTGCTAGTTGGATCATTATCTTTGCGGCAGACTCGTTTTGGGTCTTCCAATATTCTTGGGTGCATCTAGATATATGTTCTTTCTCAATGTGTTTTTGACGTGCATATTTGAGTGAGTGACTAGTGTAGTCTGGATGGCAAAATATGGCATGCACCATAGAATCGTGTATCTTGAAACTAGAGTGTTACCGTAGTTTGCTAAGATACTATTGTTGTTAGCTTGCTACTGTTAAATCTCACTGGTGATGGGATGCACCTAGGGAGTTGAGTGGGAGCAGGTGAATTCCTCTTTTAAGCAGACCCAATTATGTGGCTTTTATACTTAGTTTGGGTGGTCCTTGCAATTACTACTTAAATGTCATTTATGCAACCCAAGACTTTGGTACCAAGTGACACGTGAAAAGGATGATTGCTACTTTAATTTGATTTGACAAATGAATAACTTGGGTTGCACAATGGCCCTTGCTCAAAGGTAATCCATGAACCAGAAGGAGATGCACCAATTCCCTAGGTTCTCGAGTTCTGTAATTGGTTTCTTCCCCTCGAGGAGCCCAACAATGTTTAAACATGATTAAATGACAATGTTTGTTCTTTTAATGTTTACCAAGCATGCCATATTGCCCTCTTTTATTGAAATTGTAATATTTATATATATATATATATAGATAGGAAGAGACTACAAAACTCCAATGGGCGAAAATGAACAGTTTTTTCACCCATAGGCTCGATGCCGTCTGATTTTTTCGAACGGCGTGGATTAAAGACCGTCATGAATATAGCATGTCCTTGGCGGTCTGTCACGGATATAACATGTCCGTGATGGGATTTTTCGTGGCGGGATTTTTTTCATGCAAAATTGACGCAAAAAATATACAGGGATCGCCACGGCTCCTGTACATCTGTGGCGGTTTTTAGGTAAAATCGGCACGGACATAGCATGTCCATGACAGGGGTAAAACATTGTAGCAATTCGCATATAGGCGTTTTTAAGAATTTTTCATATATATATATATATTTATGGGTTTGTCTAGAGTTAACAACCCCTCAAAATACAAAAGTTCAAGTTAGAAGGAGTTGTGATGGGTGTATTTATCAAAACAATCATTACTTTTTTATTAAAAAAATATTTAAAGAGGTAACTTTACCATTAAGTAAGAACAAATTTGAAATTTTCACAAAAATACAATGGCATTTTAGAAGTTAGTGTCCTAAAACTTTATTTATAGGTGCCCTTGTCTTTTATTAAAATTTCAACTTTACCCCTTATAGAGATGACAAAAGTACCCATTGTCTTGTAGTAATATTTACAAAATTGCTCCACAAAAGTAACTTTTTTTTAAAAATAGACTACAAAATTAATAAATTCACCCTTCACAACTCTCTCTATCT